TGCCTTGAACTGATCCCTCACTGAGGAAAACACTGGCATGAGGAATTAAAAAAAAAATCGGTGCTCAGTTGGGTGAGTGTTCAATTATAGGACCCACCTGTCCTCTGCTAGGTGTTGAGACATCTCTGACTCTGTGGCTGGGGAGGAAGAGCCCAGGCTCGGAGTGAGCTCCTGGCCTGCACCTACCCAGCCCTGTTCATTGTGGCCAGAAGCTGTAGCTCCTTTGGTGCCAGAGCTCTGGAGTCAGCCTCTGGCCAGGCCAAGGAGGGCCTGAGGAGAACCCTGGGCAGGGAGGCAACTATGCAGGGTCTCTGAAGTTTCAGGGGCCCTGTCAGAGCAAGAGGAAGACCACAGCTTCTTGTCAGTAACATGGCAAGGACACGACTGTTTTTCCGTGGTCCTGATTCTCCCTCTTCCTTTCCTGCTAATCTGCACACTAGAAATAATTTAAAATTAATATATTCTGAGCAGACACATTCATTTTCTTTTAAATTTGCAAAAATCTTCAATCGAAGACATTTGAATACATAACACAAAGGCCCATTTTCTTTGGGAAACATCTATCACTGCCAAGGTAAAAGGCGGCACAAATATGTCCATAAGGAAGAGGTATAGTCGCAAAAGCACCAAGCTGGAGTAATAAACAGATTTGGAGATTATTAGGGTGTTTTGGAAATGAATCATGGCTTGTTTGAACTGTGGGGGAGGTCGAGGGTATTTTTAATTTAATGGATTAATCATTTATGTCTGAGGTTCTTGCTCCTTCCTATGAAAGCAATGCAGGAGGTTTGTATGGAGTTATAAATCATGTCAGTGTTTGGGCCTCATCTCTGGGAGGCCTTGACTACGGGTTATACAAATAATTTGAGAGAGGAAGTAGAATTTCTAGAAGGGTTCCCTTTGGGCAACCGGGTCAGCCCAGAGTCATGGAAGGAGAGATTCTAGGAGTATCCTAGCCTGTGTATAGAGTCCCACTCTTGCGACCAAGAGCCAGGGAGTGCGGCAGCCCAGGAAGAGGCAACCTATATCTTATTCCCAGTTTGGCAATCTTCCCCTAGGTCTTGATTTTCCTATCTGTATAATGGGTTGGAAGCTCTGTGAGGGTAACAAGCTTTGATCACCTGTATCAACCAATCATAGTTAAATATGGCTTGAGATAAATCCAAACATGTCTGCTCCACCTTGGACTTGGTACTATATTCCAAGCCAGGCATTTCCCAAACATTTTATACACAGTCTTATCTCCTTATATCTGGAAGGCAGTAGGTAATATTGTTTTTCTCATTTACAGGTATGTTTATTTTCTTACCTAAAACTATATATCCAGAAAGTTCCAGACCAGCACTGGGACTTGAACCCAGAACTCTCTGACTCAGAGTTCATGTCTTCAACCTGTGTCAGGAGTAGCCAGCTCAGGTCCGTTCTGGGCTAGAGGGGAACAGCTGAGTCCTGCTCCCAGGTGGTGATATCCTTGTCTCTTGGGTCCACAGGCCACATGTGAGCACCCTGACACATCTCTGGTCACTCAGTTTTCTAAGACCTTCAGAGAGCACACAACGGGCTCCCTCTGTTCCCTTCCTCATTCTCATTCCCATCTTCCCTCTCACTGAGGACAGTGTAGTTGGAGGAATGGAGACACAGAATGCTGCTCCCTGACTAGGTTCAGAGCTGTCCCTCAGCTCAGCAAGCCACAGCTGATCAACCAGGCCAAGAGGAGACCAAATTGGATCCCATAAGCAGAGTTGAGAAGACTGGACTTGAATTTGACCTCAGTGGGTCAGGGCCATCTTTTATGTCTTCAATTCACAATTGGGATGGAGGGTTAGAAGGAACAAATCACACAGACGAATGTCACTGACTTCTCACTCCCTCCTCACCAGACTCCTTAGCAAGGCAGGGTGACTTCTCAGCCCTCCAGCTCCCCCTGCCTGAGGGCTTTGGCACTAAGCAGCAGCCTGCAAAACTCTCATGCCCACTGCCTCTGGGACTCTCCTGCAGTGACCAGCCCCTCCCTGCGCCTCCCTCCTGGGATCCTGAACAGCACCAGGAATCTGCACATTGATCTGCTGGATGACATCAAACCATGTGGTCCAGCAACCTCAGTCCTGCTGAGGGCGGGGCCTGGGCCCCATTGACGCTGTCAGATCCTCACCAGGCCGCTGTTTCTGATCAGGCCTAAGCTCTGCGTTAGGCACAGAGATATCAGGGTTCCTGTCCTCTGTTACCTGAGAGTGTTCAGCCCAGAGCAACCCAACAAAGACCTGTGGATTGCCCACCCTGCATCCCACACTGGGGATTCCCCAACAGCAAACACGCTGTCTCAGCAGGTGGACATTGAGTTTGGGCCTGGGAGGGAAGATCTGCTTTACAGTTATTAATGTGGGTGGAGTCAAGGCAAACCACCCAGTCTTTCTGAGCTCCAATGTCTTCATTTATTAAACAGAGGTGGCACATCGTGGGTATTCAGCAAGTGTTATTCACTATTGCAATGTCTTTCAGAACATCTAATTTTAAACAATACCTTCCTTCACAGATACAGCTTTATTCCAAGTCTGACACAGCAAGTTTAACTTCTGGAATATTTTGAAAACATCCCGTCCTTTTCTAGGGCCAGCAGGTCATAACCCTTGAAAGGCAACCATAGGCCTACTTTGGGATGGGTGGTCCTATCTAGGAGTTGAGAACTGTATTCAAATGTCACCCCAAGTGCTTGGGAATCAGAAGCCCACAGAGCCTTCTTGGCTTCTAGAGCTAGAGTCACCCTAATGGCTTAGCCCAGCCTCCATAGGGCCATGCACAGTGAGCCGATTTAATGAGGTAGAAAACTGATCACAAAGTACAGAGGCCCCAGGGTGCTTCTTCCCACTCTATTGACAGCCCTTTGGCTGGGAAGGAAGCCTTAAATCTCTTAGCAAATAGGGAATGGATCTCAAGTGGCCTTTTTCTGTATTTCAATTGGAAGGTTCTGCTCTTTGTTTAGATTTCCAGGGCTGAAAGCGGCTGCCAGAGCTGAGACTAGGCAGTGGCTGGGCTGGTGAGGAGGGGGCGGTGGGGAAGGTTCAAAGGGAACTCTTCTGTGCCAGCTAAGCAGTCTTCTTCCCAGGCCAGGTGGGAAGAGCTAGTGTTTAAGCCCAGAAATGCTCATGGCCCTTGGAGTCCTTCTTCCTGACTCAGCACTAAAGGTGAGGAACTGGCTCCATCCACATAATGAGCTCTGCCTCAGAATTCCAAGGGGACTTGGGGTAAAAGAGCCTGCCAAGCACTATGAACTTGCCACTTGATTTATCAAGGAATTTGAGACTCTAGAGTTTCCTCTAGGAGCTGAGTCAGAGATATCTATAGGCTCTCACCTGTGAGTTACTCTGGTTCCTGGGCAGGTGACTCCCTGCCCTCTTCAGATTTGTTTTGGAGGAAATAGAGGGATCCTGAGGTTCCAGCCCTCTCCTTGGGCCCTCTGGTTCTTGTGAAGTGGGAACAGGGAGGGGAGGGGCTGGATGCAAGGGCTTGGGTATCTGTTGATTTTACTTTCCTAGGTTTTTCTGAGGACCTGAGAGACCTGCAGTAAACCATCAAGAACTGTTTTGCAACCAAACATTAAGAGCATCATCAGCCTCTGGTTGCCACCTGCCAGTGTCAAACAGTGAAGCTTCCTTCACACAGTAGAACACAGGCTGTGTCCCTGGACCAGTCCCTGCTGCATGGTAGACTAGCTCTGTGTCCCAGCATGGGATGGCTCACCCAGTGGGTGTTGTAACTTGTGTTATGACACGAGTTGGGTTATTTCTGGTGAAACCTAGACACTTGATCACAAGCCAATAAGCATGGATTCAGTATGTCCAAACTCAAGGGAAATATTAATACAATATGGCTGGGACATGAATGGATATGAAAGTCCCTAAAACATCCTGTAGAGCAAATGCAGAGGCAAACTGAGTGCATTCAGTTGTCCTTAAATGACTTGTCATCCTGGATCCTAGAGGTCAGTGAAGGTGAACCTGGTGATGGGATATTTCTGACATCTTGCTCACTTTATCCTGGGAGGGTAAGTCCTGAACACCAGCTGGCACAAAGTCCCCAGGGGCTGGTGTGACATTTCCACGCTATTCCCTGACACATGAACCTCCTGCTCAGGCCTTCCAGGTGACAGGAGGGCGCCCTGCTGGGTTTGGCTGGGTGGGGCTGATCGGCTGATCAGATGGCCTGTTTGTTTCGATGGCTGGAGTGGCCAGCATGCAAAGTGGAGGTCAGCACTGGGTACTGACTCCACAGAGTTGCTTTCCTACCAGTTGTGTGACCTCAGGTGAATGACCTTTCTTAGCAACTCATCCATAATGTGTGGGTTAAAAACATATCAACTGGGAGGATCTACATGCAGTGCTTAGCACAGGAACTATCCAGACAATTGCTTGGAAAACACTGACTGGTGTACTCGGTGGCAGAATGATCAGGAGGGAGTTAATTCTCAGTTTCCAGAAGTGCTGGCAACACAAGGGCCTGAGAAACTTAGGAAAACCTTCCAAATATGCTCTGGTTCTGTCCTGGTTTTAGCCTAAGGGGAGGCTCGTTGAGCCTTTTGAAAGTCTCTGTTGGAGGAAATAATGCCTCCTAGTTGTACAAGGGGTTCAGTTCCATGCCCCCTGGGAGAGCAGCAGTAGATAAGAGTTTCTGGTCTGTGGGATCTAGAGACCACAGCTGCTCACTTGCATCATGTTGCCCACAGGACACACCACACTCTACGGTGGCCTGCAGGGGCCTTAGGAGCCCAGGGTGACTTGCCTGAATGGCATCCTCTACCCTGGCACTTGGATGCATTTCATCTGAGGGGACCTTGGCTAGAGACTAATTTTCTTCACCATCCCTCCTAGTTATAAGAGAGATGGGATATTTCAGAGTTAGATATTTCTTTCAGATAACAGAATACATAAGGGGGCGACAGGTTGCTCTGGACAGCGTTTTAGGGATGCTTTGAGGGGACAACATGCATGGAGCCATTTACTAACCATTCACCTGCAGGACGTGGGTCTGGAACAGCTGCTCGTGGCCCAAGGCGTGGCAGGTGTAATTGCCCATGTGGATGGTGGTCACCTTGGTGATGTACAGGGAGTCATCCTCTCCGAAGTCCTGCATGGGCAAAGATGACAATGAGATTGACCTCTCTATTGAGAAGGCTGAGGGACCGCTGGTTTCTCTTAATTTTCAAGGAAAACAGAACTCCTGCCTCTAGGAGAGAGTTCCTTTCTGCCTGACCCCTTCCTCAGCAGAGCTGAGGGCTGTGCTGTCCTGAGCAGGGGACGCTACCTCTCTTGCATGTTCCTGGTTCAGACCTTGCATGTCCATTTACCATTGTGCTCACCTGGCACCTTCTCTGTGAGGTGGGCAGGACACTTCCCTCAGCACATTTCCTCCAACTTCCATCAATTAGGCTCAGGTGCCCCTCTCATCTTGCCCCCTTGTTTTATGGTGATCTCGCCTACCTGCTAAGAGACTGTAATTCTGGATGAAAGCCATGTGTAGAGGAGGTGTCGGCAAACTTTCCTAAGGGGCCAGATAGTGACTATTTTCAGCTTCGTGGGTCTTAAGATTTGTCAGCTACTCAACTCTGCCACAATAGCATTAAAGTGCCGAAACAATTCATGAATTAATGAGGGTGCTGTGTTCAATGACATTTTATTTAAAGGTGACGGGCCAGATTTGGTTCACTGGCTATAGTTTGTTTACAACTGGTTTAGATCCTGCCTGGATCCCCAGATGATTTCAGGCAGCCTGCACGTATCTGAGTAGCTCAAGGGAAGGGAGTCAGAGCTGTGGGGGTGGGGAGCAGACAGACACAAATCAAGGCAGGGGCATAAAAGAGATCCAGAAGGACTGATGACCCCCTAAGAAGTGGCCCAGTGAGCCTTGGCCCAGTGGTCTCTGCAGCCTCGAGGGTTGGGATCTTATTGAGCCAGTGCACAGGGGAGGGATGGTCAGGAGGTCTGCGGCTGTGAAGTCCCCAGAAGAGCACCGGGCAGGCACCAAGTCCTACTCAGCTGCGTTTTCTCTTGTAGAACTGAGCACAGTTCTGTCCCCTTCCAGTGCCAATGCAGACATGTTGGCATTGGAACTGCCTAGCATTCTATGAAGGTCCCTTATCGGCTTTGGTTAGCTACCAAACACCTCAGATGACATGGTGCTTGGAGCTGATAGACGGAGAAAGCTCATGGGTGAGAGAAAGGGCCGAACAGTGCTGGACATGGGGAGAGATGGGGAAGCCCGGTGCCTGGACTCAGGAGACGCAGGGTTTGGTTTGGATTTGCCATTGAACAAATGTCCCCTAGTGCCTCTGGGGCTTTGGTTTCTCCACCTGTAAGTGTGGACAACACATGTTCTCCATCTGTCTGAGATCCAGCAAGAGAAGGCATGTGCGTGTATTTCCTCATGTGAGAAGCACGACATACACAGGGGACGTTATTTTTCCTGTCATTACTAACAGAAGATGCAAAACTCCTCTTGACCCCTGGAGCAAACACCAAACCATCCCTCCTGCTGTTCCCCTTGCCCTTTCAGAGCTCCCTTCTTTCACAGAAGCACTTTGGTGGCAGAAAAGAAGAAGGCCATTGGCTACTGTGCACAAGGGTCATGCGTGAGCAGCACTGGGCAGCTCCGAGGGTCTTTCGTTAATACGTACACTTCTGCCCCCTGAAAGGATGACGTTCTCCCTTGCTCACACCCTTGAGGGCCCAGCACAACCATCACAAGTTCGTTTAAAGAAGTCTTAGCACAAGTAAGAGTTGTAGGCAAAAGAGAGGTGCATGGCAGTGGGGAGGTGGGAAGGTCAATAGTGGACACACACAACCTCCTTTCAGCATTGGGGACAAAGAAAGCCAACCCCCTGCGACTCCCTTCTCCTGGTGGGGAACAGTATCTGAGAGGGCTCTGCCGGAACCCTGCCGGTTGGCTGTGAAACATCACTTTGCTGAAAAGAGCCCCATTCCCAGCATTCTGTGGAAGCCTCAATAATAAAATAAAACAGCAGATAGCTGATTTGTCCTGTGTCATAACAGAGCCATAAAGGCTTCATACCTGAGTTGCTTATGAAAAGTTAATGGCTAGTCAATGCTGGGACGACATATTTCTAGTCTAAGCTATTTCCTGTGTCAAAAATCTAAGTAAGTCTCTAGGAAAATGTACTTTGCTTGAAGCCTCAGCGGTGGATGGCTGGCATCTTGACAAAGGGAGGAGGCCAGGGACAGCCCCCACCCTGGAGAAGTGGTGAGTGGCTTGGAAACTCCTCAGTGCCCCATATGGCTGACCCAGGGCGGACTCTCTCCTAAGAGCAGAACCAGAGCTGTTGGCAGGGAGTCCGGTGCACGCTGTTGGCATTTCCCCTCCACACTGCCTTTCTGAGCCTCCACACTCATGGGTCCTCTTCCTGTGAGGGCTCCTGAAGCCAACCTGAGCTCTGGCAGCCCCTGTCACCTTGTTGGAGTTGCTGGTCACATGGACAACAGATTCCTTGGAAGTAGCCTGGGTGAGGTGGTTTGGTGCTCCAAGGCTGGTACCCCCTGAGACACCCTGAGAATGATAACCCGTCAGCACCAACACATAGCCTTTAAGAGGTTACTATGAGCCAGAACTTGACATAGAGTTGACTCTCCATCTTCGTGGGTTCCTTATCTGTAGATTCCACCAACCATGGATGGATGGAAAGTATTCAGAAAAAAATGATGTCTGTGCAGTTTTTTATTTCATGTCAATATTCCCTAAAGAGTACAGTGTAACAGCTATTTATACACCATTTACATTGTGCCAGGTAGTATAAGTCAGCTAGAGCTGATTTAAAGTATGTGGGAAGATGTGTGGAGGCTATATGCAAATACTATGTCATTTTATTCAAAGGACTCAAGCATTCAGAGATTTTGATATTCCCTGGGTAATCAATCCCCTGTGGATACTGAAGGATGGCTGTACATTGCCTTGGTTAATCCCAAGGGATTACTCAAAGGCAGAAGACAAAATAAAAACCCATTCCCCAGAGGTGACTTAGCAGGGCTCCCCTTGAAAATACATTCTGAGCTGGGTGTGGTGGTGCACACCAGTAATCCCAGTGACTCAGGAGGCTGAGGCAGGAGGATAACAAGTTTGAGGCCAGCTGTGGCAACTTAGCAAGACCTGGTCTCAAAATAAATAATAAAAAGGACTAGGGGGCTGGGGTTGTGGCTCAGAGGTACAGCGCTTGCCTAGCATGTGGGAGGCCCTGGGTTCGATCTTCAGCACCACATAAAAATAAGTAAATAAAATAAAGGTATATAAAAAAAAAGACTAGGGATGTAGGGCAGTATTAAAGCACCCCTAGGTTCAATCCTGTGTGTATGTGTACATATCCATGTATTTATATATTTTTAAATTTTTGATTATTTTATTTAATTATTTTTCTGAGTCTATTTCTCTGATTATCTCCACTGCCGACTGCCAGCACCCTGAGAGTCTCCTTCCTGTACAGCACCAGAAAGTTCTTTTCCAAGCAATAATACCAGATTGTGTACTTCCTTGTCCAGATCCTGGCTCAGGTCACAGCCAGTGAGGACCTGCCCAGCCCCTCTCTGGCCACTCTCCCCTAGCCATTGCTCTAGAGTGCCAGAATGTGCTCCCCTCAGGAACTTTCCACTTCCTGCCCTCTCCTCCCTGATGGCTGTCTGTCTGTCTGTCTGTCTGTCTCCCTTTCCTTCAAGTGTGCTTAACCTTTACCTGGTCTCTCCCCCAACATCCCCATCTCCCTTGCTGCTTCATTTCTCTTCATGTCACCCACTGCCACTCAGCATTCAGTGCTCTGTGTTTATCTCATTCACCATCTGTCTCCCCGACTAGAACCCAGCCCAGTGGGGGAAGAGGGAATCTTGGGCTCTGTGTTCACTGCTGTGTCCTCTGGCGCACAGTGGGTCCTCAACAAATAGTTGTTGAATGGATAGTAGGGTGCTCAACTAGGCTTTCTGCAGAGACTGTGTCTGGCTCTTTGCTTTGACAACCCAGGTGCCCACCTCTTACCTTCCTATCCATCTAAATATGGCCCAGTAATGTAGGATCAAAACAAGGGGGCTGTTGGGAAAGCAGAGGACTGGTCTCAGGTCTTGTCCTCACCTCCCTGCCCTGTCTCCTTTTCCAGCCTACAGCTCTCAGAGGGACTCATGGTTCTTCTGCCTTCCTCAGGCCAGGGCAGCTGGGATGAACTGAAGAAAAGGCTCTGCTCAGAGCAGTAGAGAGAGACGGGGAAGCTCTTGCACAGTGCCCGGACCTCACGGATGACTTGCTGCATCTCTAATGTAGTCCCTTAACTTCTGCTTTTCTTCTTTTTTATTTTTGTCATACTGGTGATGGAACCCAGGGCCTTGCCCATGCTAGGCAAGCACTCTACCACTGATCTACATCTCCCCCCACTTTCTATTTGAGACAAGGTCTTGCGAAGTTACCCAAGCTGGCTTTGAACTTGCAATCCTCCTGCCTCAGCTTCCCAAACAGCTGAGATAATAGACATGCGCCACTGCACCTGGCCTCCATCTGTTTCTCCGGCCTGCCAAGCACAAGTCCCCATTCCTCTGGAGCGGAGGCCTGCCTCTTGGGTAATCAGCCAGGTGCTGAGGGTGGGGTGTTGGCTCTGTGAGGACATAAGGAGCTGCTGGCTGCCTTATGGCTCTTCTGTGAGCACCGAATGTATTACCAGCCCATGGTGTAGACTCTGGGGAGAACCTCACTCTGTAATAAATAAAATAATGTCTCTGGGCTAAAACCATAGGCATCACGTAATTATGGAACAAAGTGCTTATTGTTTTCTGGATATGAATACTGGCTACAGAAATCAAATTTACTTCATTGGAGGTGAGAGAATTACTTTAAAAATTGATTTATAAGAAGCTATATAAAACTAAACCTGCAATTCTTCCTCTTCCAAATGTTCTTTGAGATGTGTCTGAATGTTACTATCAATGCTTGATTGCATCGCTGTAATTGTCTTTTTATGGATAACTTTTTTTCTCTGACACATAGAAATGTATTAGCAAATCAGGGTTACTTCCAGAAATAAACAGATGCCAGATTAGACCATTCTTTGTATTGATGCACATCTATTTTTTTGGAAGGAGACAATT